ATGAGTATGATACTGTTATTTGAGGAATATTTTGAGTTTCCTGCACAACTCCAGATGATCTGAGCACCTGCAGCATAAAATCACTTTAGGAAAGGCCATTTCAGACTTCACAGAGGAAAATTCAGATTTTCTCCAAGGAGCAGTGGGCAGRTGAGCTCAGTGGGATTAGAGAGACTGTTCAGGAGGGTTAAGAACATCAAAACCTGTTCTGAGTGTCCTCTGGTGGCCTGTTTGGGGAAGCAGGAGCTTCATTTCCCCAACACTCAGGGATCCTCTCTGGAAGGCACTGCTGAACACACAATGAGAATTAGGGAGCCAGAAAAAACTCATGAACCTCTCCTTTTAACCTCTTGGACTGGTTATTTCCTTCCCAGAATAAAGAAAAGCTGGAAAAGCTGAAAGGCCAGGCRGAGCAGTTTTGCCAAAGACTGGGGAAGTACCGGATGCCTTTTGCCTGGACAGCCATTCACCTGATGAACATTGTGAGCAGTGCTGGCAGCCTGGAGAGAGATTCCACAGAAGTTGAAGTTGGCACAGGAGGTACAGGGCTTGGCATCTGCATGCTGGAATGGGGGCAAATCCAGAGGTTTTGGTTCATATATCTTAGGATTTTATGTTCTCTATTTCCATGTCTCTGTAACCCTGGGATTCTTCAGTGTTTAACCCCAGACTCCACAGACAGTGCTGAGCTCCTGCTCTCCCATTTTTACACAAAACAATTCCTCTGCAGCCCCAAACTCAAGGACACCTCCCTGTGCCAGGCCCCAGAATAAGATATTCCCCCCCAGAGAATTGGGGGGAGCCAACTTGGAGTCAGTGCCTGCATTGGCTGAGCTGGAATTGGAGGATTCAGGCCCAATGTGCAAATGGACAAAAGTGAGAAAGGGTGAAAAACCTGTGAGCCATTGTCCATTGTGGGTGTGGGACTGCCCTGGATGGCCCTGAAGGCCCTGCAATAAATAGAATTGCTTTTATTCTCTGAATTTTGTCCAGCCTCTGGTTCAGGTGAGCCCATTAAGGCATCATTATCGCTTTCCTCCCTCTGCCCTGCTAGCCTGGGGTCATGGTTGAACTAAACCAGAAAAGTCCATGGTAACAAATGGATTTATCTTTCAAGGATTTTACAAGCAAACCATCTGTTATATTATTTAAAACCGAGCTCTGAGGCTGAGGGAGCRTTCCAGGCCGGTGACCATTTTCCAAAGGAGTGGATTAATCTTTGTGAGCCACAGAGCTCATCCRAAACTGCTCTTCAGCATCCCCAAAACTGCCAACTTCATCATCTTTCAGAGCCAGGGAAATCCATAAATCTCAGCRTGATAAAGACTTTGATCCCAGCAGGAAGGCACTGGAGTGAGGTGGCTCAGAGGGGAGAGCAGGATTGCCTGAGCACAGCCATCTCTGCTCTCACCTCCTGGCACCATTCCCTTGTACACAAAATCCTGCTCTTGGGCTGCAGTTTTTCTTCTTTCTTTTTTAATCCCTTCTCCTTCCCACTGTTTTTTTTTTTTTTTTTTGCAGAACGTAAAGGATCGTGGTCAGAGAGGAGGAATTCCAGCATCGTGGGGAGGCGTTCCTTGGAGAGAACCACGAGTGGGGACGAGGCCTGCAACCTGAGCAGCTTCAGACCAGCCACYCTGACTGTCACCAACTTCTTCAAGCAGGTGGGGCAGGGTTTGGTTACCAAACAACCCTCCAGGAATGGTTTGAGACCCCTTCAAACCTGAAAGATTCGTTTGCGGGGTGTGGTGGCTGTTCCCCCATCACAGGGAGCCTTGGAACAGCGTGCAGTTTGTGATGGGATGTGTTAATTCTATTATTAATCATATATTAATATATTAATTATATGTTATTATATATTCATTATATATATATTCTAGTTGTATATATATTCTAGTTGTATATATATTCTAGTTGTATATATATTCTAGTTGTATATATATTCTAGTTATGTATTATTGACCGAATAACAGGTTAATTTGGGTTGGAAGGGAGTTTAAAGCTCATCCAATCCCTCCCCTGCCATGGCAGAGACACCTTCCACAATGCCAGGGTTCTCCAACCTGGCCTGGGACATTTTCAGGGATCCAGGGGACATTTTCAGGGAATCCAGGGGCAGCCTCAGCTTCTCTGGGCACCCTGGAGGGAGTACATTTTCTTGTTCAGCTTAGAAAAAACTAATAAGCTGAAAGTATTCTGAATTTCTATTATTTATTTCTGTTTAGAAATTATTATTCCTAAAATTCTAGTATTCTAAAWAAATGCCATGTCTTGTTAAAGAAAAGCTGGTCACCAAATCAGAAATTATTTACAAAAGGCTATATTTATTTACTTTGTTGAGGTTATTTTTACTTTGAAGCAGCTGATTTTGTTTAATTTCTTCTTTAAAACCTGCCAAACACTAATTTAAGATTTTGAATTTTTGATTCTTTATTTTTTTATCTTCCTTTTCTTCTGTTAAGTAGAGTTAGTTGGATTCTAACSAGTGTTTTTCTCCTTCCATTGGCTTCTTATTTTTTTCCTTTCATGWTGTGATTTTTTTACCTTTAAAATCAGAGATCTCTGCTTTTGGGTCACAGAGTCACTTTTTAAATAATATTTCCAAAATTAACCAAACTCTGAGCTGTTAGAATGGGACACAAGGAAGACTGACTTCAGACTCCTTGCACTTCCCACTTTTCCTGGAAATTGAGGCTTTTCTGGGCTCATCCCAAAGGAAAGGCAGAGGAGAAGGAATGAGCATCACCTCCTGAATGACAGCTACTTCTTCACATTATTACACTTGCTAAAAAATGGGTATTTTTGGGAAATCTTTCAACAGCCATTTCCAGTTTGGAAAAAGATAATATTGATGGGGAGAGAAAAGGCTTTCAATTAAAAGTTCCTGCAGCTRTCACAATGATGAATAAGGGATGAAGGGAGGGAAAGGATGAAKAAATGAAATGTAATTGAACACGTTAATGGCAGCACCTTGGTCTGGGGAGGTGCAGGTTGGTGCCAGAGGGAAGAACCTGGAATGAGAGGTTTATTTCATATGGATGAAGTCACATCACGGGATATGAGGGTTTTCTCACTCTCTGGCAGTCCTGGAGGGCTGTTGGTAACCAAATCCTCCCCTCTGAGCAGGAGGGCGATCGCCTGAGCGATGAGGACCTGTACAAGTTCCTGGCTGACATGAGACGTCCCTCGTCGGTGCTGCGGCGCCTCAGACCCATCACAGGTACCCAATCAGCTCCTTTGGGCTCCAAAATTCGGGTGTTGGGTTTGTTCCTYACCCTGGCACCCCAAAGAGGTCCTTGGCAGCAATCCCTGCCCAGCAGGAGCACTGGGGATGTCCTTCGAGCAGGGCTGGCACTCTGGGAGTGGTGTCTGCAAACCCCAAACCCCMAAAGCCAGGAAGCTCAGTTTGCCACTCTCCATCCCAAAAGAGAGCTCTCTCCTGTTGATAGGAACAGGCTCCACTTCTGTTTGAGAAAGGGGAATAGAAACCCTGGCACTGCAGTGGAGCTGGTCCCTGACCTGTGCTATTCCTGACAATATTTGCTTAACCTGCTCTGAGAGCTCTCCAGGGACAGCAATCCTGCCTCTTCCTTGGATCAGCTGCCCAGCACTCAGCTGMCCTTGCAGCCACATTAGGTATTAAGAAAACTTTGCATAATTACCTCGTTGACAATTAATGGGATTCTGGTCTGCCATGGCCTGGGGCAGTGACCACAACCTTCCGAGCATTTGAGTATTGTGATCAGTTCACCCAATTCACCTCTGGTTTGTAGCCTGACCAGTCTCRGGGTTTTTGAACCTTTCCTCTGATGGAATTTTGTTTGTAACAACAGCTGAGCCTCACAGGATCATCATCTAAACTGTATTTCCCCAATTTTTCCCATGATAAAAGCATCTRTGGCTTGTTAAAGTACACATTTTCTGTTGGCTCTTATTATCTGATCCCACAGTTGCTGCAGATATCAGTTTGATCTGGTGATCCTTGTTGTTTACAAATCCACTTTGGCTGTAATTTATCGCTTGTTTATTTATCAAATTAATAATACAGGATATCAGCCTGAAGAAACAAATCACCACTATGCTTTTTTTAAAAATTAATTTCTATTTATTGTAATAAAATCCCTTCTTCTTGCAGCCCAGTTGAAGATAGACATTTCTCCAGCTCCTGAAAACCCCCACTACTGCCTGACTCCAGAGCTGCTGCAAGTCAAGCTTTACCCAGACAGCAGAGTCAGACCCACCAGAGAAATCCTGGAGTTCCCTGCCAGGGATGTCTACGTCCCAAACACCACATACAGGTCAGAGTTTTGAAACACATTTCACTTTTCAGGGCCTGAGCCTGGCAAGTGTGCAAATTCCTCCCTAATCTCTGTGGCTGTTGCAAAATTTGGTGCACGGGCACAGAGGAGCTGTGCCAGAGGCACAGGAAGGGTTGAGGCTGACACAGCAGAAAATCTCAGCTTTGCATCAAACTTGGCTGTGAATAAGAACACGAGACAGATTTCTCCATTTCCCAGAATTTGTGGTATAATTGGTTGATTTTTTTTCACTGTTATGTAGGGTTTTTCCTTTGTCTGCCAAAGCCATCATTTTACTGRTTTTATTCTTTTATATTATTTTCAGGGACTATTTTCCCTTTAGAGTGAGGGGTAGAAATAGAAAAATGTATAATCCCTTTGTTCATATTTTCATTTTGATTTAAAAGCAATWTGTTTGTTTACAATATTTGAAAAACAAAATCTTCAGAAGCCCTGAAAAATAGGAATTTTTTCTAAATATCTTGGGAAGCAATAAGCTTTCTATAACCAACAGCCAGCCTGGGACCAGATTTCATTATGCACCATTATTAATTTAAAGCTTTTTTGGATCATCTTTGGAGTTGTTACATGTGTGAGTGGAATTGTCTTCATCAGCTGAGTAATTTCAACAATTTACCAAATCCTTGACTTCTAGTTTTGAATTCAGATACAAACCAGGTTTTTATAAATCAAAGCTTACAAGAAGGGTTTAGTCAAGTTCCGTCTTGTGAAAAGTTTGTATTTATTTATTTGTCTGTTGATTTATTGGACAGGTAATTTAACATTACAGCAAACCAGTACAAATGAGCAGCAGTGCATGATCTCATCTTTGTTATAAACCCACGAGAAGTAAAATGATTTTTTTTTTGTGTTTCTGTAATTAACACATTCTGTTCACTGGGTTTTGCTCTGACAAATCACAGCCAAAACCATTTCTGGTGTGATTGCAAGTGCTGAGTTAAAAACCCCTCACTGTCCAAGGGCTGGGTGGGATAAACAAGTCAATATGACTCAGTGGGATTGGGGTTTTTGTCAGGCAGCATTTCCAGAGCCAGCACAAGGGTGGCACTGACTGCAGCTGGAATGGAACACGTGGGTGTCCCCAGGAGCTGCCCAGCCCTGTGCCATGGGCTGTGCCCACTGGGTTTGTGGGTTGGCAGCCCTGACCCCATTGGAGCAGCTGTTCCCTCTGTGGAAGGTGATCTGTCGGGTGCTCAGGGCTTGTTTGTTTAAATTTTTGGGTGGTTGTGAAAGCTCACAAAGGTTTGGCTCTGGCTCCTTTCACGTGAGAGCAGATCTCTGCCCATTTCAGTGGGTTTGGCTCTCAACTGTGCAGTTTCTGTGGGATCCAGAGGAGCAGGGCTGTGCTCTGGCTCCCTGTGTGTGCACACACCTGGGGCTGTGGGGAACAGTGCTCCAAAGAGGATGGGTTGGCCTCAGCTACCTGAAAACACCCWGAGCCCTAAAATGAGGAATCACCCATCTTTGATTTGCTCACAGAAACACCTCACAACAAAAACTTGAACCAAACATCCAAGCAGTTACTTCAAAAAAAACAAAATTTCTTTTTTTTTCCCATGGATTAACACCTAAATGTTTTCCGTAGGGTTTTGCCAGGCCTTTGTTTCCAGAAAACACTTTCTGTTTTCCTTGCTGCACAGCCCAGAAAGGAATGCACAGCCTGAAAACCCATTCCCCCAAACAATATTATCCAGCACATGACAGGTTGTCTCCTAGGCATTGGAATCTCATCCTGGGGAGGGAAAAGCTCCATGAAAAGTTGCAGCACTTTGACATCGGGGCTCGAGGGAATGACAATACTCACCAAACATTTTGCAAGACCMCCTCAGATGTCTCAGGGTTATGTTTTGGAGAAAATTCCATGCAGGGCATGGATTGGGACAGGCATCTGTCAGTAAACACAGCATCAAGTCCTTTGGTGTGGTGAAGCTCAGTGTGTTTGTCCTCAATTAAAATGCAGCAGGCCGAGTGCTCAGTCAAAGCTTTTTAGGTCCGTTGGGTGGATCATGATTTTGGTGGATTTGAGCAGGTAGTATCTTCCTTTCTTAGGCTTCCAGTAGAGGCCTTTGCTCCTGTCCAGCCGTCCCCTGGACCTGGGTGTGACRTACCTCCCGTTCAGGTTGGTTTCCTCGCACTCGCTGTGCCACCAGCCTCCTGAGGAGCAATGTGGGCATGTCAGACATCCTGGGCTGTGCTTTATTTCGGGGTAAACAGCTCCTCTTTGTGAGGCAAAACTTCTCCAGACYCTAAATTCCAGCTCAGGGTACCCARATYATTGAATKGTTKAGGTTGGGAAAGTCCCCTAAAGGCACTGAGAGCAGCCATGCCCAGCACTGCGAAGGCCACCACTGCCCCACGGCCCCCGGTGACATCCACAGGGCTTTGAAATCCCTGCAGGGATGGGGACTCCACCCTGCCCTGGGCAGCTGGGCCAAGAATTGTCCCTCACATCAACCTAAGTCACCTCCAGTACAACTTGAGATGTTCCCTCTCCTCCTGTCASGGAGTTGTGCAGAGCYACAAGGTCCCCCCTGATCCATCTTTTCTCTCTTTTCTCCCCTTTCCCAGCTCCCACAGCCCCTSCTGGGGCTYCAGMCCCTTCCCAGCCCCATTCCCATCTCTGGACAYGCTCCAKCCCCTCCATGTCCTCCCTRTSACAAGGGGYCCCTCCCTGGACATGAGATGATGCTCCTGGCATTGTTTCAGGCATTCCAAATTTTCAAGCCCAGGATGATGTACAAAGTGTTTGTTGCATGAAGCAGGTGGCTGGAGGGCAATTATGTATCCTGTGGTTTCATCATTTAATTGCTTTTTCTATTGTTTGCTTTCAGCTATAAACTGGCAAACATAAAAGCTGGAGAAAATCAAAGAATTAAAAACCCTTTWACCAAATTATCTCCAAGGAGAAATGGCCTCTCCAAATTATATCCAAAGAGAAAGAGCCTTGCATCTCTTGCTCTTTTGAGAGTGATTATTGTGTTTAATTGACAAACAGCTAAAATCTGCCTTTCRGTGGAAACTCACTCATTCCTAACTTTTGGGTTGTAGTTTAAAAGGAGTTTAGTCCGTTTGTCTTTGGGATTTTTGCAAGAAAGGATGTAACAATTCAACCTAGGGCTGCCACATCAGAGCAGGCATGACAGCCTTTTGCTTTAGAGTTTGGAATGTTATTCTGGGGGTCATTTCAACCTGTGCTGCCCAGTCTGGTTTTGGTGTTGGTTGTTTGCACAGGATGGCAGGATTAGATGGATGTTGGGAAGTGGGGTGGCTCAGAGCAGCTGTGGCTGCCTCTGGATCCCTGAAAGCATCCAAGGCCAGGTTGGACTGGTGGATTGGAGTGCATTGGGACAGTGGAAGGTGTCAGGTTGAAACAGGATGAGCTTTCATCTCCCATCCCATCCCATCCCATCCCATCCCATCCCATCCCATCCCATCCCATCCCATCCCGTGATTCTGTGCTCACAGAGCAGGGAATTGCCCACATTCCCCCTTACCCTGCTGGTTCTCGGGGCAGTCGAACTCTCCGGCCGTGCCGGTGGAGAAGCGCAGCCGCGTGCGCTCGGGCAGCGCGTTGGGGATGCTCCCGGCCATCCTGGAGAGCTGCAGGGTGTAGTTGGTGTCAGGGCCCCCCAGGCTGAAGGTGTACTCGATGTGGCGCCTGTTCTCCCTCCAGTCCTGCAGCTCGATCCGCAGGATGTAGTTCCCCTGCTTGGTGATGGAGTAGATCTTCTGCAGGCCCAGCCAGAATTCCCCTGCAAAGTTGGAGCAAAGAGATTTGCCTGCAGGTTATCCCCAAAAGCCAATGTGTGTGAAAGTACAGTATTTAAAAGSCTTTATTAATTGCTTTAATTAAATCAGCGATTTGAGTCTTGGGGACTGTTGATCTTTGCAGAGGTCTGCTGCTACATTCTTTTTGTTTACCTCTGCTTAATTGCACACTGGTGATCCATAAAAGCAAGAGCTCTAAATGAACTGGAGCTTCTCCCTTTGAGTTTCCCACCTCGTGTGAGGCTCCGAGAGGGAGCTGGAGACATTTCCAACGTGGGTAATGGGGAGTGTGTGACAAATGAAGCTGCTGACATACATAAAACMTAATGGCAATTGTTGCATTTGGTGAAGAAAGAGCTGTAGAACCGAGCTGGGGCTTTGACACCCTCGTCTACAAAGGGAATTTTTCTTTTGCTGGGATTTCTGATCATTAGTTTAATTGGTTTCATATATTATGTTCATTAAGGAGCTGATTATCAGTGCAGGTAATTGCCACGTGTAGAGAGCGGGGCTGAATGTGAGTGCCATGCACACAGCTGGCATTTAAAGCCATGGAAGACAAGATGGTTGAGGAAAAAACTCCCCAATTTCTAGGTCAGGAGCAGTAACTTGGTTTATTTTATCACCTCAGAAGATGCAGCACGGTGCTGAGTAGGACATAGCTGATAGCAGCGAGATTCTCTGCAAAACTTGGAACTGAAAACATGTGGCTGTACCTTGGTGCAGTTTTTGGGAATTGGAGAGTATTCAAGGAGCAGCTAAAGCATCCAACAGTAACAGATAAACTTTACAGGTGAAAATTCTACATCAGCTGTGAGCTCCTGTCCCAAAACTGAGGTGCAGCAGCTCTTTATTATAAAAGATATGGAAATAAGGCAATATTGTTGCCAACTTCCTGTGGTTTAGGTTTTTGCCCTAGAAAGTCAATATATTTTCTGAGCAAGAGGAGGCTCATCTCACTGCATGAGGAAAATAAGGGAAYTATTCTGGATGAGGAAGCTGCCGGGCAGGACTTGGTGCTGCAGATTCCTTGGAGTTGATGATTAACGGGGGWATGTGGGTGTTTCCTCACCCTATCCAGCCATGGAGGGGATTGGCCACTCTGGAGAAGCCTGAGGTGTTTGCTCAGGGGAGCACACACCGCCTTGGGCTCTCCTGAGGCTGGAAAAATGCATGTGGTGGTTTGAAGGGATTGCAGGAAGGTTCAGAGAAAGTTGTGACAGCAACTTGAGGAGGTTTTGCCTCTGTGGATTTGGGAGGTGCTTTTATAAATAGTAAAATCTTGGTCAAATAGTGTTTAAAGCATTTTGGGTTTSATTCAGATTCTAAACATACACTTAAGGGATGTTTTTGAGAATTAGATGAGTTCTGGTGAGCACTTTCTGGTGCTGCAGTGGATCAGTCAGCTGTTACTTGCAGGTTTAGTCTGCTCTCATGTGAACACCTTTCCCTAAGAAGATTCAGCTTCTCAAATCAATTGACAGCAAAAGACACAAAAAAGGCCATATTTACCATGGAGGTCACCAAAGCCATTTGTGTAGGCATCCCAAGTCTGGTTGAAATCCAGTGATCCATCCACTCTCTTCTGGATTACAGTCCAGGAAGTRCCTGTGAAAAAGGGAAAGAAGTCATAACTTGGGCTTGGTCCCATTTCCTGTTCCTGAATGTSCTCTGGGGTGCTCCAACTTTGAGGTAGAACAAATTAAAACCTTCATGAATGGAATTCAAAAGAGCCCAGCTGGAGAGAGCTGTTCATATCCTCGGCCATGCTTCGGGTGATTCCACTCACAATTATTTTGTTAGGTTGCCTTAGCTGGGTTTCATTTGTTTATGAGAGCTGAGAGACAGAGAAATGATAAAAAGGAGATTTGGAAAGCCCCAGACTTTGGATCATGTGGTCAGARGCTCTGCTGATAGTGCTGGGCTGCTGGCACCACTCCGGGCAGGGATGAGGTGCCAGGGGTTTCCTTCCCTCTCCTGAGGCCAGGTCATGATGCCCTCCCTTCCCCAGCTCCACCAAACATTCCCAAAGGAGCTTTCTGCAGAGGGCAGAGCTGTGTTTGCTCATCCCAACACGTGAGGCAGCCCCTCGTGCTCCCAGTGCTGGGTGGGGAAATGGGGCAGGATGGGCACGGAGCAGCTCTGCAGGTACAGGGAAAAAAGGGAATGAGAGACCTGGACAAGGAGCAGGGATGGGTTCTGAGGAACGTGGAGCTCAGGTGGASAGGACAGATGTGTGCCTGGGCACCCCAAACGTGACACAGGAATCCTGTGCCCAGCACTCAGTTCTCTGGGTTAGTTTGGCACAGCTGAGTCTAAAGCAGACCCGTCAATGGAACAAAATTTTACTGAGGTGTTTCCTGTTCACTTCTCTTTGGGAAATCCATTCATGGGTGCCATATAATGGCTTTTGTAATGATCATTTTCATTACCTACAAAGGGGCTGGAGTTTGGGATACTAATTAAATAATTAATGTCACGTGATTGAATGTCATTTCCTCAGTATAAACAAGAGGGGAGTAAAGAATTAGAGCAGTGATAGGGAGATTTCAGGATATGGGAAACCTGAGTTCAGAGCTGAAAGGCCACTAAGAGAAGACAAGAGATGCATAAATCATGATAAGGTTTTGTGTACTTTGGGATGAGACACGGCTTAGAGGAAGATATTTCTGTGAAAATCAGATTATTGCTGGYGCAGCTCTTACCAAATTTCATTTCACAGTAGACACTGAAAGCTTCTGAGCCGTTGGGCTGGATGGTGTAAACACCACTGGCCTGCACCCCGGAGTGATAGAGAGCAGTGCAGTCTGCAGCAGCACCTGGCAAAGCAAACAGCCCGTTAGAAATCCTGCCTGAGCTGAGAACAAAGGAAAAAATATAGAGTGATCCTGTTGGTAAACTTATTTTACAAAAATGTCATGGAATGGGCAGACTGCTCTGGGCATGATAGCACAGCTGTGCTCAGGTTGGGCTGCTTGTGTTTTTTAAGTTAGGCAGGGTTTCAGTTTGGAGGATTTTGGAAAGTTTCTAAGGCCTAAGACTAGACTCTACCAAATGGACTTTCCTGACCTTGTAAAGTTCCCAGTAAATACCATTCCCACTGCTGCACTTCACCAGTGCCTTTCAACTTCAAAGGAAGGTCTTCTCAATCTTATAATTAGCCAGTGTKAAGTTAATTAGTTCTCTGTTGGTCATCAGTACAAGGACGGTCACAGCACGTTTACAAGAGGGAATGGATGCTGTTACTGCATTTTTGGCCATTGTTCCTGGGTGTCACCCCAGAGATGAGTGCAGCTGCAGTGGGGCTTAATAGATAATGGCATTTTTTTCTGAAGAATGGGATCCAGTTCCTTCCCACAGCCCAGTGTGTAACATAAAAGTGTTCTAATTTTAGTTTTAAGCCAATCCAAGGCTTTCCAAAGGATGCTGGCAATGCAGCCTGTGCTGCTGTGGTCACATCTCAGGGTGTCTCACCATCAGCTCCGTGTGTCCTGACCRGGGGCTTGTGCACAGCAGAGGGGAYGGGCTCTGGCTCCTGCTGCTCCCACGTGAAGGAATCCTCCAGGAGTTCCTGCAGCTCCATGTGGTTTAGCTGCAAGAGCCATAATTGCACTGTTAATTTAATCTGGAATGATGACATTCACGGATCAAGCTGAACCATGTCACACAGAGAATAATTTCTCTAATGAGTGTAATCCTTTAGAATACCCAATTTACCAGATAAAAATAACTTCAGCTCCACACTGGTGGATTTTAGATGTGGGAATGCCAACTGTGCCACTGCTCAGACAGGGTAGGGTTCATGAGAGGAGGAAATGACCCCTTCTCATGTGGTTCACCCTAATGGGCAAACAGATTGAATTTATTTCCTCAGGTGGCATCACTGAGACAAATAAACCAACAGCTCAAGAGGACTGAGCCCACAGCTCCTGAGGCTGAAATGCATTTTCCTCTYAGAATAAATTAAATGTGAGCACATTGGTTATGCCAATTACATTGGTTATATTTGTTACAGTGTTGTACTTCCACCCTGGGAGTGGAGATTGGAAATGAGGAAAGAGGTTGAAAGTCATGAGACTTTATGGAAGAGCAATGGTATGATAAATAGTAAGAGAAACCCCCCCCAAATTAGCAGTGAGAAAAGGCAGCAGCTTGGTGTTGAGGGACAAGGTCTCAAAGCTTGGCCACAGCATCTCCCCCAAATAGGTTCCTCAAAATGGTCCCCACCCCAAAGTGATCCATGGGGTGCCTGACCCCATGCATGGCTGAGCCCTCAAATCCCTCAGGAGAGGGGGAAGGAGGAGCAGAGCTGGTTCCTGTACCTTGTCCTCCAGCTCCATGATCTGGTTGTGCTGCCTGTCCAGCTGCATGTGCTGGTCCTCCACGATTTTCAGGAGCTGCTTGATGTCRTTGTCCTGCTGCTCCACAAAAGCCTGAGGACAGAGAGGGAAGGAAAAGGAGAGTTAGAAGCAGATAAAGACCTTCACAGTGCTTCTGGCCCCATAACTCTTGTCCTGGAGTCGATTTTTGAGAGGCACAAACCATTGAATATTCCTTTTCCAGGGAATCATAGAATGTCCCTAATTGRAAGGGACCCACAAGGATCATCAAAGTACAGCTCCAAAGGTTTGTCTGCTTTGCCTCTAAACTGAAAAATATCTTTGCTTCTGGAGAGAACACCTGTTTTTTTTGAGACAAACTACCAGCAGCTTTGTAGACTTTTTTTTTGCTATTTTCCTTCCATTTTCACATCCAGAACAATTACGTTCTGTGGAATCGGCCTTTGATTCAAACTAGATGCATGGCACTGATGAAAAAAGGGAAAATTTCCAGCATTTATGGGATTAGCTTGGGATTTGAGAGATCAGGGTTCATCTTTMTGTTTTGACACAAACACCCTGTATTTTCTCATACAAATTGTTTGGCCTTTTTTTATGCTTCTGCAAAATACAATTAATATTTCTTTTTCCATAGAAAACCTTATATCCACCTAACTACTTGCATGATTAATGYATTAATTTTATTAACACTTGAGGGTTCTTGGGTTCTGGAGGTCCTACAGGTGCTGTAAATGCCCCTCTGTAAAGGTTTAACTTCTCTGTTTCTGCACTGAGCAGGCAGTTCCTGCTGCATTGATTTGGGATGAGCTGATGACGTACAAACYCAAGGGCTTGGGAATCACAGCATTTCCCCGATTGCAAAACTTCTTTAGCATSGTGATTACAAAATTTCTTAACATTGGTTTGCAAAAAAATACTGAAAATTATACAGAGCTTTATAATTTTACAGTTRCTCACTGATTTCACTGGGGAATTTTACTACAAAACAAGCGCTGCATCAGAGTAAGACTGATTTTTTCTTTTTAAGGTTGCTAACAGTGATTTATCCCTCAAAATGCTCAGTAGTATTCCAGTGAAGAGCAARGGAAAGCTTCTATTGCATAATAGTGATAATGGCATTTCAGTGTATTTTGGCYCTGTGTGTCAGGGCCTTTCACAAGTCACTTACTTTGAGTGAAGAAATTTCTTTTGTCTCTTGCATCGACGGCTGGATAATGGCCAGCTTGGTGACCTTGTCCTCCAGCCCCAATACTTGCTCCTGCAGCTGGATTTTGTTTTGTATGAGGTCTTCAATCTTCAGGTTCATCTCCTGCGAGAGGTTCTTTATCTCCTCGTTGTTGATTTGCAGCCTGGCCGTGGTTTGCCGGAGCTGTTCTTCTTCCTCCTTGATTTCRCTGGTTTGCAGGGAGAGCTCGTAAAAGGACCTGTCAAAAATGTAAAGTTTCTGAAAGATGTCGTTCATCTGCCCCTTGGTCTTGTGGACAAAGTCTTTCAGGCCGTGSCCCAGCTGGAGGAGTCCGGTGGCCAAGATCCTGACATCGTCCAACATYGCAAATTTTGATTTTGTTTCGGGAGATCCAGCAGAACCAACAGAGAAAAAATCCACGTCAGCTCCAGCTGGGAGAGCCAGAGGGGCCAGGAGTAGTAAAACTGGAATGATCTTCATGTTCATTGCCTGATTCTTTTTGCTCAGGATGCAGAGGCTTTTCCCAGTGGTAGTTTTTGCCGGGTGGCTGTTCTGGGTGGCAGAATTTGATCTATTTATACCCCTGTTCATTTTGGAGAGGCAGAGCAGCGGGTTGATCATTAAACTGTGCATGTTTGAACGAGTGTAACCCCTCCTGAATGTAGGTTGATACCTGGGAAGATAAAATTGAGAGCCACGTTTCTGATTAAAGTGGTTCTGAACTTTTCCATCTGCCAGACCTTCTGGTGTGAAACGTTTTTGATGGCACATTGTTTGTCACACAACTCTTTTCATTAGATTAATTTTGGRTCTCAATCTTGATGAGCTCTTAAATTGCTCCTTGTTTGTGTTGCTGATTCCCTTTGTTCTCTCAGCAGTGGGAAGGTGTTTGCCAGGTTGGAGAGCAGTGGACACTCAGGGTGTGAAACTCTTGATGAGCTGTGGAAAGCAGAATATTCCCAGATGATTCACACAACTTGATTTTCACCCTGGGCYGTTTTCTGATGTAACTCATTGTGCTGCAGTGGATTTACTTGTCAGGGAGCTCAGATTAAGTGAGAAAGAGGGAATTAAGTCCAGAGATTGCCTGGATGTGATTCTACTGWGTTAAGGTTTGTGCAGTAATTTACACCATAGAAAACTTATTTTTTAAGAGCTGCTTTCCAGAGGTGGGTGAGATAAATAATAACCTTGCTTGCATTTCTCACCTTTCCATTCTTTTTGCTGTTTAAGATTCATGCTACATAAAGAAAGGCCGCAAGTGCTCTGAAATAAATGCCCAGTTCTGTAGTAGGTCCCTGCATGGAAATATGGATTTTTTTGGGGTAATATTGCAGTGTGAGTGAAAGGTATTTCTCTTTCTGGATTCATTCATAGCAATCCAAGAAATCAAAATCAAGGATTGCGTAATATAATCTGTACTTTGGAGAGCTTTCAGGGTTTTTGCTAAATTCTTGTATGTTTAGGAATTCTTCCATTGGACTCTTTGTGGTGTTGTACATGTACATATGCATGTATAATTTCAGAAAAAATGTCTAAAAAAATGAAGTTTTGCCTCATTTTTGTGTTGAAGGGCTGAAAATATGTAGCTGGGGTTTAATTAAATGCTGTGAAAGTATTTTAGATCTGAAATTAATTGCTGGGAAATATTTTGTGCAGTAGGATTGGGATCAGACTTACTGGAGTAGCTGAAGAATGGAAAAACTGCAGGAGCAGGGAGATGATCAGGCCCAGCTCTGGGCAGAATGGGGATTCGTTCAAAGAAACAATCCTAAATTGTTTCTCTGGCATCCCACTCAGGCATTTTGGGCTGCAAAACTTGAGGAACTGGTTGTAAAATTAGAACAGAACAAATTTGTAGACTTTCTTCAGTCCACTTCACWGTACTTAAGTGGCTTTGGTTTCATGTGGTTTCAAATGAATCCTTTTCTGTTTTAACTATTTCATGCAAGAAATCTTTCTGGCTTGTTCTACGTAGGTTTGAATTCTTCCTAACCCCTAAAATCTTAATTCTTTGCTTAGTCTTTAGAAAAATAGAGGAAGTTATTCAGGAAATAGCAATGACCAAGGTACTGGGATCAGACATTTTACCAGGTTTTACAGCCTGAGGAGCCCCTCTGTGTCCCATGTGCTGCTCAAAGGTGACACTATCTATTTGTCATGGAAAAGGTTTMTTTTCCAAAGGTAAAAAGCAATCAAAAGTTCCTGATGTCAAATCCTAATRAAGCACTAATTAGCTGCCAAGCACATTTCCCTATTAAAGCCAAGGCCAATGAAGTCAGGCATTGCTAAGCTCACTACAGAACACCCCTAGATGTCACAAGAGTCCCAGGAAAAGTGGGACACAGGAAAGCAGAGGGGAGAAAAGCCTCTGGCATGATGAAACCATAAAATTCAGGAGCTGTGGAAACCCCTGAGTGGGAATTCTGCCTCTGAGGGTTGTCAGCCCAGTCAGGGAAAGATGTATATAACAAACATGATCCCGAAGATCTTTTGTGCACCTGTATGACCCTGATTATATGGGCTTTAAATGATTTTTATGGTAGGAATAAAGCAAAGAAAAAGGTCTCTGGGTTTTACTGAAAAGGGGAAGTTTTCATAGGAGTTAGAAATTCCCTCTAAGAGTCAGGAGCAGCTCTTYATGTTTTAATACCTTCATGAAGGATTTTGCAAAATGGCTGCAATCACATTACATAAATATTTAGAGGAGTGCCTGGTGCCATTATTTCCATGGCTTGGGAAGCCTTTGCACTTTAGCAATTTATTTTATGGAAGTAAAAGTGCTTTTGAGATCTGTTTGAGATAATAGGATAAGCTTTGCATAAATTTGATGTAGCATTTTAACAAAAGGTCCCAACACAAGGCCTTGCCTTTAAAGCTCCTGCCTGAAACTTTTCTTGCTTGATCAAGACTTTTATGATGTTGCTGTCACTTTTCCAGCCATCAGTCCCTTTCCATGGCTCTGTGTTTAGACTGGAGGATCTGAGGTTTTTAACTGTGTAGGGTAGAAGAGAGRCTGGGAGAGCTTGGGATGGAGAAGAGAAGGTTCCAGAGAGACCTCAGAGCCCCTTCCAGACCCTAAAGGGGCTCCAGGAAAGCTGGRGAGGGATTTGGGACAATGGCCTGGAGTRACAGGACAAGAGGTGATGGTTTTAACCTGGAAGAGAGAGTMGGTTTAGATTAGATTAGATATTGGAATAAATCCTTCCATGTGTGGGTGGTGAGGCCCTGACACAGTTGTCCAGAGCAGCTGTGGCTGCCCCATCCCAGGAAATGCCCAAGGCCAGGTTGGACAGGGYTTGGAACAGCCTGGGACAGTGGGACGTGTCCCTGCTCATGGCAGGGGTGGAATGAGGTGATCTTTAACATCCATTCCAGCCCAGACCAGTCTGGGGTTCTGYCCTGAGGTCAAGTAGGATTTCTCATTTGGGGTCACGTTCTGCTTTGCAAGCTGGGGATTTTCCCCCTCTTTCTATGGAAATTTTCCACAAAGATGCCTGCAATAGGAAATCCTTTGGAGAGAGGCTCCCTGAACAGGTGGGAACATCCCCCTGTCCCCTACTACAGTGGGATCTGTGCCCCTGAAATCCCCTAAGCAATAAAAGCYTCTTCCCAGTGAAATGCCCTTAATGAGGCTTTGAAAAGCAGTGGAGAGGGGAACAACCTGTTCCTTCCCTCAGCATAAATCAATCCTAAGCATGAGACTGCCTTTAATATAGGGATCCTGGAGCCTGGCTTCACAAATACCTTAAATCCTTCTCTTAAGCACTAATAATACTTAATAAAAGTTTTATGAGCAAGGTACATTKTAGAGTAAATTTTCATCTCCATTTTCATTTTAAAAAGAACATCAAGCAGCAAATGTATTCATGGCAGAACAAAGTAATTTAGGAGAGTCACAAAAATGGCYCAGGCCCCTTCAGAAATAATAGGAGAGCGTTGATTTGGCAAAGTGACCAGTGGGGATGGGATTCCAAAGCTTAATTCACCATGAAGGACTTGAGAGGGAAGAAATTCCCACTTGCCAGCTGAGATTATTGCTCTGCCTGAAGTGGGGAAGCAGAGCCTGGCTACCCTGAATATGCTGAATATCCCTGGAGCTGCACAGCTGGACTGCTCTCAGGGAATTCCTTAGGAACAGCATTGGCTTTGTGTGGATAAATGGGACTTTTTGGGGGSCAAATGGAATTGCCAGCAGARCCCAATCTTTGGGTGGGATTTATTGGTTGAAATATTTGCATTAGAGCCATTCAGGCAGCCAAGGGCAGCCCCCCTTTGCAGCTGCTCCTGCAGGAGCCTCTCCAATCCCTGCAGGTGTTTTAGAAACTCCTGGCATCTAAAAGGCACCAGGTACCTTCCCTGAGTTACTGCCCTCCTGAGAATCCAAAAAAGAGTCTTTTTGTTTTCAACCTCCTGCTGCCAGCCCTCGACAGCAGCTGCTTTATTGTGCCTTAAATGTTGTCCTGCTGTGCTCCTCACTTCACTTTCCTGTGCCCATCTGGTGTCTGTTGTCACTCTGGGACAAGAACAGTTGGAAACTACTTACAAATTGTGTTCAGATCCACTGAATGGTTCCCAGAGGGAAGGGAACCTCTTTTTCCTCTTGTCTCACAAGGCAGGGGTGTCACAGGGCTGGTTCTGCAGAGTTTGGGCAGGCTGGCAGCACAGGGAGCTCTCCCTGAGTTTCCAGGGTYCTGGATCCTCTGGATCCAGGGATGGATTGATGATTTCCAGGCTGGTTTTTTAAAGATATCTAACAATTCATATGTTTTCACTTCTTTGGGAGCAGAAGTTTCATTTCCTTTGAATATCCCAGTGGTGAATGGAAAAGTCTGGGGGCTGTTGCCTTTTTTTGTCTTCAAAAGAACATCAAGGGACTTTCTGTAGGTCTCAATTTCTTGCTCATAGGACGGGTAGGGGTTTGTAGTGGACAGTTTTGCTAATGAAGTGTGGATCCAACTTCCACCTCATTTGGAAGGGCCCAGCAGGGCTCAGAGGACAGGAAATGGTGCAGAATTTGAATCTCGTGGCTGTCAAAGTTACCAGAGACTCACAAAAACGGGGCTGGTTGGGGTTTCCAGAATGTGTCCCTTGCCTAGTGAAGGTTTGAAGCTGTCTTTAAACCCACCTGGAGCGTGTCTGCCTCACCTRTCCTCAGAAACCACCAGAAAATGGAGATTTCACACCCTCCAGGGCAATTTGTTTCACTGCTTTACCTCTCCTTACAGCCAGAACATTGTCTCTTGTGCCGGACCTGAATCTCCTGTGCTTCAGTTTCCTCCCATTATGTCCTGCCTGTGGATGCTTTAACACTTTGGTCTCTAAAACAGTCCTTTAGATACCTGGGAGAGTTGTCATTACCTGGAGCTACACGTTTAGTTTAATCCGTTTTCAGAGGAGAAATGKAACCTAAAGTCATCCTGATGTCAAGAGATTTGAAAAAGAAAAGAAAAAAAATGGACAGGCCACAAGAAAGAAGGTGTTTTAACAGAAACCAGCTGCTCTGTGTTGAGCAAATCAAGTCTATAAAGTAGAAGTAAATAAAGCTTTTGTATTCACATGTTTGCTTTCCACTTGAACTTCTCCAATTG